TATATATAGTTGGCAAAATATATACTAGTTCTTGTGGAACTATCTTTATGGAATACCATCTATAAACTAATATTACAATAGATTTTCCGTGAATTTTTACCATGTAGGGCCTTTGGGATAAAGTGAAGTATACCTTATGAATTATACCAGGAGTTTTTCCTGTTAATCATTGAAAAGCATTATGGCTTTTTATGTGATAAACTAGTAACTGGTTGCATTCGACTTAGAAAAATTTAATGAAGGTTTAAGATTTTGGTATAAAATATAAGCTAGTTTTCAGAAAACTGAAGAAGAAAGTAACGTAAGACTGATATCCCTATATGTACTAAAAAAAAAAAGAAAGAAAGAAAAAAAAAAAGTCATTATTTAAGTTATATGTGGTAATTTATTTAAATATTTTTGTGAATCTTATTTTACAGACAAGCTTTTCACTTAATATTTTCTCTTATTTCATTCAGCCAAAGTTAATGAACGTAACTCTGAGTGGTGTATTCAAGCAAGTTGTAGACCGAGCCCCTCCAGTGCGCTTTTTCAGTCGCTCTTTCACCATAGTCCCAGAGGGCTCAGGATACTGCATCTGCAATGAACAGCTATACCTTACTTTTGCAACATCGGAGCAGATCAAGGTACAAGGTTGATGTAAACAACAGGGAAAGTTGACATCTATGGGTCTGATGTTTTTTTTAATTGGTAACAGTTAGACATTCAACCCCAGATCCTGCTCCTGTTCTGCATTATTCCAATTTCAAATTATCTCAATGTTGCATTTAAGAGAGATGGAATAGATTATTACTTTGACTGAAATATCAATTTTATATAATTGGGAGACATTGTTTTTATTATTTTTGTCATTTCCAGAGATCTTTCAAAAGTACTACTTCAACAATGCAAGTACAACCAGTAGGTGTTGAGGCAAGCATAGTTTCTGCTGAAGCAAACCTTCCCATGCAAGGTGAAGCACTGCAGTCAATGCAGCAAGCCATGATAACAAAATTCTCAGAAATATCTGGGATGCTTCCTCAATATTCTCAACTGTGAGTTTACCTTACTTTAGTGAATTTCAAGTTCATAGTTAGTTTTAACTCCTTGGATCTGGTTGCTTTGCTGCCCACTTTGAGGCCCACAATCCAGGCATTAGGCTTACTTGAGTGGTAACTCTCTTGGTGTGTGGCTTGTAGGCTAGGCCCACTTGAACACTCATGCGGTTTCAAGACTCCTTGCTTCCCCTTTGCAATGTTATTTATTTTTCTGCACATAAGCATTTTTTGCCATTTTCCAAGGTCTGTAATCTGTCTTTTCATATACTGTATCTAGATTGTAGTATCAGCTCTGTAATACAACCTGTGCCGCTGGTTGCAGCGGGCAGGAATAGGATCCTGAGCATAGAAATATTGTACTCTGGAGTTGGCACTTTTTTAGTCAGGCTCACAGATGGTACATTCCACACTTATTTACCAATAGTAATGATACAAGAGCCCCTTCTGAATGTCCAGTTATGGGTCACAGATGATATATTCCACACTTGTTTAGAGATAGGAATAATACTAAATGCCTACTGAGTCTAATCCAAGAGCTATGTGCACTACTGGCAAGTCATTCTTGTCATCCTGACCTGCCAAAATTCTCATGATGGGATATTTTTGTCATCTCTGTCTGCAGCCAAATTTTTCCATAATACCATGTTCACATAACCTGCCCTCAAGCCAATTTTTTTCCTGATGTGATGATTACATCACCCGGATCTTTGGTGTTAAAGTATACATTTTTCTTCTTTCTGTAGTCCATCTAGTATTATACTTTTGTATAAAAGTGACCTGTCCTTTTTCACAAATGCATTTGTAGATGTATTGGAATTCAACTTGTTACTCTTAAGAAATGTGCCATTTTTCATAACGTTTACAATGTAAAAATGAAGGATGTTTTAAAATCTTTGAGTTCAAGCATTTCATAATACTGTTCCTGTTACTGTTCTCATTATCATTTCAGTCTCTGTAGTTCTAGTCAGAAAGTAATATTCCTTACTGCCTCTTTTTTTCAGATGTCTGGAGCAGAATGGATGGGACTTTGACAAAGCTGGCAAAAGGTTCTTACAACTAAAGAATGATAATCAAATCCCTCCAGAGTATTTCCCCCAAAGCAGTTGAAGATGGAAAAAGTCAGTAATTAGGGAAACTGTGATAAGAGTCATTGGTAATAATGTTGATGGTTGTAGAATAAGTAGTAAAGCATTTTTTTTCTGGTTTGCCACATGTAAATACATTTTTGTAAAATGTATAAGGTCTAATGCATTTTATTTCATGTAATGTAGTAATGCCATTTCACAACTGCAGGAAAATTTTGTGTTAATCAGTCCTTGTATGAAAAGTTAAAAGTAGTAGTTCTTTGATTCTCATCATGCTATGCTTTGAGAGGAAGAAAATGTATGCTTTGATGATAGCAGTTGTTGGTCATAAGGAAAGTCCTTTTTTGTATGATTTTGTGTACCATTTCTGTAGCTTTT